GCAGAGGACCCCCCCGCGGTTAATGCCCACGCAACTCCTGCATTCCCAGCTGCGAAACGGTCTGGCAAGATCTGCTCTCCACCAGCCTTCGCTTGCTGGAGCAGTAGCAGGAGTCAGGCGATTCGCAAGCATCTCCCGGGGGAGAGGAGCTCATGAGGAGCCCTCAGACACCTCTGAGCTATGGAACTGCAGCGAGGAGCCTCTGTTCTCCCTGAGGAGCACTATGAGGTGCTTTCTACGTAGTTGTTCGTACCGTTATTTTGGCTTGCGATGCTTTGGTTGTAAGAGATACAAGCAACCCCTCAAATGACAAGTTAGCAAAGCTAACGCAAGCAAAAAAAAAAAAAAAGTTCAAAATCTGTAAACTATTTGGAATAATTGGTTATTTGCTGTGTTTGCTGGTTCCAAATCACAGCACATATTTTACGGCTTATCCTGTTACTGTTAGTTGGAAGAACTCTTGGTGTTGGATATCTCCTGCGGAAAATGGTCGCCAACCCACTCTGCAGCTCAGCATTGCCCTCCGGCGCATTCCTTCCCATTTTTTTTTCTCCCAGAGTTTCAAGCACACTCGGGGCACGGCCCACGGCACTGCCACGGGAGGTGGGTGAAAGCCCCCTCAGACTGCACGGCAAGCTGGCTTTCCACCAGCCGGGGTTGCAGGGGAAACCGTCCCCAAAGAGAAGCCGCGGGACAGAGGAAGAATGGTGGCAAGAAGTTATGTGGGTGGCTGCCTTTGGGTGACCATGGCCAAATGAGGGCTGATTGAGCAGGATGGAAAAAACCCTGCTGAAAACAAAGAGTTTTGTCCACTTCTGGGCAAAATTAAGAGTATGTTGAAAAAAGAAAAGGTGAAACATCCGTAAAGGGATAATTACTCTTTATGGACACCTGACAGTTCACACCTTGAGGGTTAATGGAAGGATAAGCCAAGTCCTCCTGCAGCCTCCCTGTGTGGATGCATGTGGTTCTCTCCTCCTTGCCCCTCCAGCGTTGCTTTCTGCACGGTGCTGCTCAGAGCTGCTGCAGCTCCCTGGGACAGGTTGAAAGAACCAGGGGGAAGGACCAGGTTAACCCAAGGATAACCCGGAGACAGATCTCTCTTGGGAAGAGGTTGGAGTTCAAGGACATGGGGAGGTCGTTGGCATGAAAAGGGCTTCCCCCCAGCTTCCAAGGTCCGGCGGCCGTGAGGTCCCAAGCCCCGTTTGTGACACTTCCACCCCGGTGTCTTGGGCAGGGCATGGCCTCCTAGCAGGAAAAATCTGTTTTTTCTGGCCTCCCAGGCACTTTTGCAGAAGTTCCTGGTCCGCATTTGCAGGTGACGGAGCCTGTTGGGCAGCAGAGGCTGCCATGCCTCCCCGAGGCGCGGATAGCTGGCACCTTGCTTGGGTGGCCGGTGGGCTTCGTCGCCGTCGTTTCGCTGCAGACCCTCCCCAGGATGCCTCCCGCAGCGGCGAGCCGCCCCGCCTGGGCGTGCTGACCTCGGCAGCAATGCTAGGCAGAGCAGCAGAGGGATTTCGGATGTGGTCGGAAAACCCCGAAGGAGCGCAGCTGCGGTGTTTACAGACATTTTTGCGTGCCCCAGCTGTTTGCCACGGCCTCTCCGCCGGAGCCTTCCGCGCGGCGGGAGGCCAGGGCTGGGCTGCGTTAGCTCAGCCGCGTGACGGTGAGCTGCGCCGAGCTGAGCAGGTTGCCTTTGCGCTGGAGCAGATGCCAGTACCACCCTCTCCCAGGCTGAGGTGCAGGGTGTCATCTCCTGCAAAAGCCTGGTGGCAAACAGCTGGGCAGCCGCATCTGTAGGTGTCCAAGCTCTTTCTAGAGGGACCTCCTCATCCCAGCTGCAGAGCTTTCCCGTAACAGGGAATCTGCCTCCCAGGTGTGAGGTGTGGGTATGTTTGAGACTGAGGCAGTGGCTTAGCTTCCTTAGAGGCAGTATTTATTATTGCTGTAATTGTCTTTATTCCCACAGGGAAGAGTGTGTAATCGCCAGGAGAGCAAGCATACGTATTAAGACTTCAGTTGCCTCACGCCTGCTCTGCTCTCCTGGATGTTAACCTCTCCGTGCCTCAGTTTCCCCCAGCTGTAAGGCGATGATGATAAGGACTAAGTTTCACCAGAAGCCAGTATGTCCTTGGCATGGCAACTTCTCAGGTTTCCACACCTCCTGTTGCTCCACACCGAAGTGGCCATTTCAACACATTTTGTGAAAACTGGGTTGTGCTGGAGAAGCCCGACTCCTGCTAGCCCTGTCTGGGAACGCATCCGACGGGATGGGCTTGCAGTTGTGGGAAACCCGGGGTGGTGGTGGGAAAACTGCTCTGGCTCAGCCTCCCTGACAAAAATGAGGTTAAAACCGGTGCATATTCCCCCGGGTGAAACAAAATGAGATTTGAAAACATCCCGAGAGCTGCCGGGATGACACAGGTCTGCATTGTGGGGTCCAGGGGAGGGAAGGATTTCAGTACCCTCAGCAGCAATGTGCACAGCCCTGGGTAAAAGTCCTAAGTGGAGATCGGGCGCAGCTTAAACCTCCTTCCCTATTACCTGAAGGTGGTAAGTAAACGGTGGCTGCTGGCTCTGCCTGATCCAGAATGCCCTTAAGGCTGCGTCTGAAGAGCCTCATTGACTTCAGAGGGATTCGCACACCCGATTGAAGTTAAGCATGTGTCTGAGTGCTTTTGCTGTGTCCAAGCCCTAATCCCAGAAATGTTTCAAGTGGGAAGTTGCAGCCTGCTGGTGAAATTCTGGTTTTAAAGGCATTTAAAAAAAAAAAAATCTGAATTTCTTTATTTTTGGAAATGCCGTGCGTTTGGCCATAAGACATTCCTCTCTTCTGGGATGTCTCCCTGGAAGGGTCTCTCCTGCTGCCCCTTTCCTGGATGCTCACGGAGCTGCTGGAAAATGGTCCCATTCAGGCTTTTGCCTGGTGAAACGGTCCTGGAGCCTCTTCGCTCCTCCTGGGTTAAACATTGACCTTTCCATTTTAGCAGAAAATGCCAAAGCTCTGCACCCTGGATCTTGAAAGGTCTCGACGGTTTGTCAGTACGGAATGGGAAAGTGTTTGCCATCCTGGCTCCAGTCTCAGGGCTTCTGGGGTGCAGGTGCCAGCCCACGTCATGGTGGTCCCTGCTCTACGGGAGCGGTGGTCACGAGGGAGGAGGGAGTGAACGGGGATGGGGAGACAGCAGATTTTCTAATAACCGTGACAGCAGCTCACCGCATCTGGGTGAGCTTCTCCCTAAGCCAAAATTTTAGCCGTCAGTCACTTAGTGTGAAGTTTATCCACCAGCGATGCCCACCTGTGGGCGTGTGCCCCACCGCGGCCCCACGGGGTCCATGCAGAAGTTGGCGAATGCCGGCAGGATGCTTGAGGTCCCTCAGCCGTCTGTGTAGGGCTCAGGGCACAGACCCCGACCCTGAGGACCGTCCTGTACCATGTCCAAGGTCAACACTGGAGGTGATTTTGGCTATCGCCTGGTGGCTAAATGAAACCCCTGAATTCGGCTGCTTGCATGCGGAGCCATTGCTCTCCCGGGCTTTCCCAGCTGCAGGCAAATGGATTCATGTCCTTCGCTATTAACGTTCCAGCTGCTCCCCTTGCCCCCCCCCCGCCCCCCCTTTTTTTTTTTTACAACATCAGTAGAAATCAGCAAAAATATCTAACCAAATTCTTTGTCTTGGGGCTGCAGAAGATACCATGGGTAAGGCGTCAGATTAGTTTAAAAGTGCTTTCTTTGTAACTCAGTACCTGTGGAATGTCGTAATAAAGCCATGATGGTCAGAATGTAGTTTTTTAAACAATAAAACAGGGGAAGCGATGAAAAGCTAATTTTTTTTTTTTTCCAAAAAAAGGGAGGCAGCAGAGGCCTCGGAGTTAATTTATGTAATATTTCTATTAAAAACAATGTCTATTCAAGACAGCAATTTAAAGCCCGCACCGTTGGCTTAAACTATAAATCCAATAAACCTCTATTATGATTCCTCCATTAGGTCAGTGTGATGGAATTTTGTGGACTTCTAAAATAAGACATCATTATTTTTCAGGAATGTTTCATGAATCACAGTCAAAGCCCCTTCATCTTTACTTGTACAAATTTCCAAAATGGTGCTTTTTCTTATAAAATATATACATTTGCTGAAGCCGGCAGCCGGTTTTCTTCTTGGAACAGCATCCTCAGAGCTGCAGCCCAGTTTGCACAGCGGATGCGGCAACTGCTCCTTCGTGGCGTTGCGGCTGCGGGCTGTGAGATTGGGAGGCTGAGGGTACGAGATTTGCCCCTTTCTTTGTATAATACCAGTGGGAAGAGAGTTACGTTATTCCTGAGAGAGGTGCAGCACCTGAGGACCACTTTTTTTAGTGGAAGCAGATGCATTTTATGCATTTATTTGTTTGCCCCTGTGCTTTGTTTGGATGGGGAGGTTGGGTGGTGCTGGGACAAAACCAGAAAGGCAAACCCCATCCCAGAAACCCCCAAAACGTCCAGGCAAAGCCTAAACCGAAGGCTGAGTTTAAGAGCAGTCCTCACGTCCTCCCTGAATTTCAGGCTGTCAGGACCACGTTAGCACCGCAGTTAATTTGTTCATCCCCTGTGTGGTCCTGCACTGAGGTCCTGGGCAGACCATCACCCAAACTGGCCAAAATCTGCCCCTGGCCTAAAAATGCTGCAAATTTCTTCTCCTGAGCTCTACCTCACCCTCCTGTGGAGAATTGTCCCCTCTGCTGACAGGTCTAGGTCCATGGTGTTGCTGTGGCTGCAACAGCTGGATTTGGGCTGGAAGCATCCCAAAAGCTCCTTGAAAGCAGGGAGTGAGGAGCTTCAGCTTGGGTTCACCATAGCTTCACCGCCTCCGCAGGGCAGAGCCCGGCCAAACCCAGGCTGTGCCAGGGGCTTGGCGCACAGGGCAGAAGTTCACCTCTAGCAGTTATGGGAGATGCTGCTGTGGTTGATCGTTGGGGTTTGCTCGTGGAGATGTGTAACTTCGGTATCCCTTGCCACCAGGAGGAAGAATTCATTGACTGGTGGAGCAAATTCTATGCTTCCACAGGAGAGAGGGAAAAATGTGGCTGCTATTTAGAGAAGGGCTTTGACACCCTGAAGGTAAGTGGCCTTAGCTGGTTCTGGCTCATTGGGCCTGCACTCTCCATGCTGCTTTTCCACAAGGTTTAATTTTTTTTTGAGTGTTTAGGCTTTTTTTTTGTTCCGGAACAAAAAAACCAAACCAAACCAAATCAGATCATTTTCCCCTGAGAGTGGGTATTTTTGTTTTTAAAAAAATAGCTATTTTGAAACCTCAGTTTTCTTTGTAAAATCCTTTCTGGTAACTTTCTACATTGCAACCTTCAAGAAACTGTCACTTTTCTAAGTGGCAGAGGAGGTGGCAAACTGCCACCCTGAAAAGTGTTTGGGAATAACAAGGAATGTCAGATTTCTTGGGGAAGAAGAAAATTTAGGTACCCTCTTATAAGAATTGTTAAAATTAACACAAGAGCCCAAACAGGACTAAAATGAGGAAGACCTTGCCTGGTCTTAAGGAGAAGATTCCCAGCAGGAAGGTCTCTTTGGCTGATGAAAAACCCTCTGCGACACCTTGGCTTAGTCTGGGTGTTGTCTGTGATGTGCTGTTATTTATTTTAGGGTTGCTCAAGGTCTGTTCTTCATCACTGTCCTGTGGGGGCAACAAGGGTGACAGGTCCCAGGGCTCTGTCCCGGTGGGTGGTATTTCGCCCAGACCGAGGAGCTTGGGTCAAGCCTTGTCCCAGATCGGTGGGGACACGCTGCTGGTCCCGCTCTGCCTGGGAGCAGTCCCTGCCCTCGCCCCTCTGTCTCTCCCTCCCCAGGTCTACGAGACGGAGCTGGAGAACGTGGAGGACTTTGAGCATCTCTCCGACTTCTGCCACACCTTCAAGCTGTATCGCGGCCGGTCGCAGGACTCAAATGATGACCCCTCGGTTGTGGGGGAGTTCAAGGTATGACGGTCTCTCTTTCTACCTGTACCTGGGAACACACTCTGCTGGGTGGAAGGTCTTGCTGCTGAGTGGGATGATGCCAATTGACTATTTTTGGGTAGGGCTTCAGAGAGAAAAGGGCCATAAAAGTAGACCATTGGGCCCAGCCTGAAAAACCTGTCCGTGCGGGTCTGGCTGCTGTATTCCCAGCAGCAAGTGCCTTGCGTGCTTCAAACCCAGTTTAGGCTGTGCTGTCATCCTGGGGCAAAAACCCATCTAAAACTGATGCTGGGTGTGAGTGATGGAGCATCTTCTTCCTCCAGGGTGGTGGTGGGAGCGTGCGTGAGGCCTGATGGTCTCACCACGCTGGTGCTCAGAACTCTCTCCCTTTGGAGGAGGTGTCTCTCCAGTGCAGAGGAACCGAGCATCCTTTGCTCTTTCTAACCTTCAGCCTAATTGCAAGAGAAGAGGGATTACATTTTTCAAGCTTTTTTCTTTTTTTTTAATTCCTGCTCTTACCCAGCACTCGCTTCCCCCAAACAATACCCAGAGACTGATTTCTGCCACTTTACTGGGAGGAAATCAGCTCTGGTGTATAAAACACTTGTAAATTTTTGTGTTTTCTCTCTCCTCCTCCTGTCCCTCTCTCAGGAACGAGCTGCCTATTTCAGAAACCCTTAAAACTGTCCCTGCAGTGAAAGTCTCAGCCTAAACCTTTTTTTGGGGGGAGGGGGAGGCTAGTTTGCATTGGCAGCAAGGCTCCTTCACACCTCTTTAGTAGCTTGAAGGCTCAAACAACAGTGAAGTAGAAGAGGTAAAGAACAAACAGGCTAGAGGGGCTCTCTGCGGAGGAACAGCAGAGTGTGCATCAATGTTCAAGCAAGAGATGAATGATGCTGGCAGCTCCACACCCTGCTCCTGGCTCCCTCAAGGATGAAGAAAAGCCTGGCCAGACATGGTCTGGTCAAGTAGACAAAAGAGAGCCAGGATCTGGGCTCTGTTCCCAGCATTGTAGTAGCTGTAGATGCCCCATCCCTGGAAACATCCCAGGTCAGGTTGGACGGGGCTCTGAGCACCCTGATCTAGGTTGAAGATGTCCCTGCTCATGGCAGGGGGGTTGGACTAGACCTTTAGAAGTCCCTTCCAACCCAAACTATTCTATGTTTCTATGCAACCATCAAGACGGTTGTTGCAAGCCCGCTCGCACGAGACCCATCTGCACGTGTGGGTGTGCAAGCACAGCTGAACTCGCCTGTCTTCTGCAGGGTTCATTCAAAATCTACCCCCTCCCGGATGACCCACGCATCCCGGTTCCACCTCGACAGTTCCATCAGCTGCCAGCCAGAGGACCCCAGGAGTGTCTCGTCAGGGTCTACATCATCCGGGCCTTTGACCTCCAACCCAAGGATGCCAATGGAAAGGTATCCTGCTGGGCAAAGCTCTGGTGGACCTCTCTGCTGGCTCACGGGGTGGGCTCTTTCAGCAGGTCAGCTCTAATTGATCAAAATTTGAGTGTATGGCTTAAAATTTAGAAACAATTGTGACAGCAAAAAGGAGAAAATCTACGCCTTCTTTCTGCCTCCACTGCAACATCTGCGAACCGCAGGAGGCAACTCTTCCTCCATCCTGAGGGATTTTTCAGTAGGGCTAGTTAAAATAGCTAAATGAGTCTTGGTTTGGATTTTTTAAAATTTATTTTGGTGCCAAAGGAAACAAAAATCTTTCACATGACTGCTTTTTGCAAAGCTTTGCCAGTCTGGAAGAAAAATTCAGTGCAAAAAGAAAATTGCGTTGGTTCAAAAAGAAAAAAGTTCATTTTGTTTCACTTTGCAAAAAAACTCAGCGAAAAATCCTTCTTCACTCTCTTTGTTCCACTGGAAAATAGGCAAATAGTTTAAAAAAAGTATGGGAAATATTTTGACATGCTTTTTAATCTGCCCAGTTTTTTGAAAATGGACTTGGAATGAAAGTTTTCAATTTCTTAGAAATCTCCCGTAAGAGACTTCTGAAGATCAAAAAGGAAGAGTAGAAAAAATGCTTTTTTCAGACTGAAACCCAAAACCAATCAAAGTTTAATCCACAGTGTTTCCCCCTATGCTGTGATGTCTCCTGAAGCTTGTCCCAGTCAAGAGGAGACTAAAGGAGAGCCCTGGATGCCCAGTCCATCCTCACGCTGCAGGCCTTCCCTGAGCACTGCTTTTCCATCCTTCGCTTCTTAAAAAACTCTGCAGGTCAAGGAAAAGTGATGAGGAACTTGGCCTGGGTGTTTTAGCCAGGGAGCATAACTGACCAATATATTTTTTTTTTTTTTTTTATTTTATTTTATTTTTTTAATGTGAGCTAGGACGGTGGGTACCTCTAGGCACTGGACTCAAGCTGGGTGACACCTTTTAGGTGAAGTTGTTTTTTTTCCTTTCTTCCCCTGGCAAAAATGCTGACTCAAGTTAAATTAACCACTTTTCAATTTTATACTGGTTTCCCAGAATAGTTTTAGTTGTGAGAGAGAAGCTTAAAAACTTGCTAAAAATGTAAAAATGTCTGACGTGAGTTTTAGATGCACAATGAGGCTTTATGTTAAAGTATGCATCCATTTTATTTTTTTTAAATTTATTGCAGCATCTTGGAAATAAATGGTTTTGAGCCACATTTTTTGCAACAAAATATTTTGCCTTTGACATTTTAGTCCCTTGCATTTGTAAATCTATCTTTGAGTAGACCTCAAACTTAAAAAATGATGACCTCAATAGAACCCCAAAATAGGTGACTCAGATGAGAATGGGAACATCCTGAGGACTTGAAAGCAAGCCCAGTCTATTGAAGAAGCCATAAGTAGTTTTTTTCATGCTTTTTTATTGCTTTTCCATCCCATTGGCCTTAGAAAGGCTTGGACTTTTGTCCCACACTGCTAACTGGTCCTTCAGTCATCCCCAAAAAGGAACTGCAGTACTGGTAGCCCTTGCCGATGGTCACGCACTTGTAGTTAATGGTCACTGTCCCATCCTTGAAAACAGGCATTAGTCAAGGGTGGTGGAAGATCCTGCTTGCTTGGACAAGGAGAGGCAGAGTTAATCCTTTGCCATCAATATTGTCCAATGACTCTTTCTTACATTTATTTTCATGCCCATCTTTAGTGTGATCCCTATGTGAAGATTTCAGTGGGAAAGAAATCCATTAATGACCAAGAAAATTACCTCCCCTGTACACTGGAGCCTGTCTTTGGAAAGTAAGTTTTGGTTCTATCTGGAGTCCATGGGATTTTTTAATGTCATATTGAAGGGATAGCGCTGGGCCAGCCAGAGCTTCCCATTCCAACCTACATTCAAGGTGAGGTTGGATGGGGCTCTGAGCAACCTGATCTAGCTGAATAGGTCTCTCCTCATGGCAAGGGGGGTTGGACTAGATGACCTTTAAAGGTCCCTTCCAACCCAACCCATTCTATGATTCCCTTGGTGTGCTCTTGGCTCGTGTCCAACCTTGCTGAAGTGAGTCTGGCCTTGGCTTGACCACCATCCTATGCACCATGGCTTGTGTTCGTCTTCTCCATGGGGCTTTTGAGCTGTGGAGTATGGACTGGGTCTGCTCTGTCATCAACAGAGATGTCAGGAGGGTGGTTTAGACCTGAGATTCCCCTGCGGAGGCATCTGTCTCATCCCGTTGATGGTAGAGAGAGTCTGGGGAAACTTTGCTCCTCATTTAAGGCACTTTGGTTAAAAGTCTGAAGAAAAGACACCATGAATGGAGGCCTGTGTGATTAGTCTGTTGCACCTCAAAATCAGATACTCTGAAAAAGGATTATCTATAAACATGATATAGGCTGGTTGAGTTGTTTGCTTGGCAGAAGGGACAGAAACTTGTGATAAAAGGGAAAAGATAATGTTGTTTTCAGAAAAGGGTATTCATCAGAGCCAGAAAGCACCACAGGGACCAGGCAAAGTGGAGGGAGGTAGAGGAAAACCTGGTGATCAGCCTCCACATGCCGACAGGACTTTGGTCTCTCAGAAAAGCTGGGATTAGGCATAGGGGGTTATGCTTCAACATGAACAGGGGGCAAGCCCTACTCCACATGACGTCCAGCTGGTTTTCTTAGGTGTTTCTCACCAGCTCAGGACGTCAGTGCTGTGACACCTTCCCAACAAAGCAAGACAGAGGGGGAGATAGAGCATCTACAACGATGGAGGAAAGCGGAGAGGGGTGGTGAGGGTTAGACTGGTGAGACCTCGGAGGACGGTGTGCATTAGACAAGCCCTGTGCTCCTCTGCTGCCAAATGGAGATGGCACCTCTGCCTTTCTGACGGTGAATGCAAAGTGGTTGCTCTCTACCTAGCATGAAGGAGCCCCGGTCTCCGGCGGGCCAGGACCTACTGCTCTGTTGCAGAGCCCACAGCCAGACCCCGGTGAGCTCTGCTAGGCTGAGCAAGTCCTCCTTCGCCAAGCCTGGCTCCCAGCCAGAGGCTGTCTAGACAGCGTGCTGCACCTCCCACCCGGTCTTTAAAGCAAGATGTAAAACCGAGGTCCTGGCTGCTGGCAGCTATTAAACCTCCCGTTTCACGAGCTTTTCCCTGGGCGGCTGGCTGCCATCCAGCTTTAGCTAATTAGTTTCTGCTGACCCCAGTTCCTCCTGCACTCTTAATTGGTGGCATAATCACTCACTTCCCCTGCTTAAAAGCTGCTGTGGTGTGGGTGCTGGCGGTGGGAATGGGCATCGTGTTTCTCCTCAGCCTTGCCTGCCTTTCAGCAGCAGGTGGAGGGGTGCCTGGTACTGCCGGGTCAGACCCGGGCTGTCCTGCTCACCCGATCGTACCACCTTCCACAGCGCCAATATCCACAAGCACCGCCTTGGTCTGGATCGGGGTTTGGTGTTTTGGCAGGGTCTTGGTGCTTTGTCTCTCGCTGTCCTTTATTTGAAGAGGGAGCGGAAGGTTTGCTCTTGCTTTATGTTATGTCAGTGTGTGTACTGGGGTTAAACGATGGCAGAGGAGACGGCACAGAAGAAAGGTGCTTAGGACAGTGAGGAGAGGACAAGGAGGCTTTGGGGAGTCAGTCTCAAGCTGACCACAAGCTTGGCCCAGGCAGGCTTGACTCCCGTTTTGGACATCTGCCCTTTGGGCTCAAAAAGCAGACGGTTTTCCAAAGCTGTTATTTCTCCCCCTTTCTCACTCCACAGCGATGATGATTCCTGACTCTCACCCTGGATATTGCAGTGACCACTGTCATGTCCAATTAGCAGGTGGAGAAACTAAGCAGGGGCAAAGTTTGCTTGAGGATAATTCAACCAGGCAAAAATAAACCCAAGGCATGCTTGCTTAGTTGCATATCCACAAGCTAAGCCAGTACAACACAGCACCAACAGCACCAGACCAACGCAACAAAAACGCACCGTGGGTGTACTGTCCTTCCCAGCACTGGTGGGTTGGGGTGGTGAGAGGGTCCGTTTCCTGTGGGGCTATCAGCAGCATGAACCTCCATCTCATGAGTACTTCTTGGCTCCCGTTCTGCAGGATGTTTGAGCTGAGCTGCACTCTGCCCCTGGAGAAGGACTTGAAGATCACGCTCTATGATTACGATCTCCTGTCGAAAGATGAGAAGATTGGGGAGACCGTCATAGACCTGGAGAACCGGTTCCTGTCAAAATACGGGGCGCGCTGTGGCCTGCCCCAAACCTACTGCACGTAGGTACCTCTGCGGGCTTGGGCAGCGGGTCTCTGCAGCTGCCGGGGCTGTGTGGTGCCGAGCTGACCATGGGGACCCGACCCTGGTGATGTCTCAGCCCAGCCCTGCCCGTGGCTCTGCCGTCCAAGGGCTGTCCCAGGGGATCTGAGCGGTGCTGTACTTCACCGCAGAGATTTGTCCCGAGAGGCAGATTCATACTGGAGCAGCCCCACATTTAAGGAACTTCCCTGAGCCCTGGTTCTCCTCCGGAAGCATGAAACGCTTCAAATAGCAGAAATGTCCTTGGGGAGGTCCTGTTATGTCCCTGATGCCTCTTGGGATCTATGTCCCCTCTATGCACAGGGCCAGCTGAAAGGTGATGTGGTGGGTCTGGGGGGGGTTATCAGGGCACCCCAGCCCTGCAAGCGGGGGCTGAGTGGGCTGTGGGACACGCAGCTCCATTCACCAGTGAACACGACTCAGAGTGAACTGCACCTTCCTCAGACCAGCCCTCTTCGGTGTAACGCCGCTGCTGCCCCTGGCTGAGGCTGCAAGATGTTTCATCATGTGTCGAGCTGCTGTTTTCCCTTGTTTGGTTGCAGCTCTGGACCCAACCAGTGGCGAGACCAGCTCCGTCCTTCCCAGCTGCTTCACCTCTTCTCCCTGCAACACAACTACAAGGCTCCCACCTACAAGGCAGACCGGGTCATCTTCAGGGAGAAAGAGTATGTCCTCTCTGAACTGGGTAAGGTAACAGGGCTGCTTTGGGGTTGCAGATGGCTTTCCTTAATGCAGAGCAAGGGGTGGATTTGGAGGTCATGGACATGTCACGGTGGGGGGTTATCATGAAGGCCAGGACTGGGCGAGGGGCATATCCCCATCCTCCTCACCTTGCTGTCCAGGTTGGCTCTGCCCCTTTCCCAAGCTTGGTTCTGCCCCAAAGGCTGCAGGTTGCAGTTGGATCCGCACTAAACCTGGGGTTGAACCTAGACCCGCGATGCAGCCATGTTAACCTTGGCCTTGAGGGATTGCCCTTTGCAGCAAACCAAACGCGCAGGCTGGGAGCAGCAAAGTCCGTCGCAGGCGGAGAGGCTCCAGCCTGATCTTCCAGCTGGGGCTGCAGGATCAGTTGTGCTGTCTGTGTCCCTGCGTTTCGGGGCTGGAGTCACTAGAGGGAGACCATATCATACACACGGCGCCCAGCGCGTCCGCCGCGGCTCACGCCCGCCGCGAGCTGTGCTCCGGCTGGAAGTGCGGAGTCAGCCTGTGCCAGCAAGGAGAAAGTATCACTCAATTTTGGAGGAGGCATTTTCTTGTTTGCACAAAAAAACCCCCAGAACCAACACCCACACCTGCAATATCCTGGGCGTCAGCCGGCGCCTGTGTAGCTGGCATCCCGGGAGGTAGAAGTATGCCTTTCAGGGAAAACTTGGCTTTAAAGCGCGGAAGGGGTGTTTCGGGCCGGGGGGAGGTGAAACCCCACTGTTCATGGCCCAGGAGCTGCAGTTCGACGCTGTTAAGGCCGCTGCAGTAACTGCAGAGCCGTCAAGGAGGACTTGGCGTGCAGAGGCACGAGACAAGGCACAGCCCAGGCCTGATCCCTCTCCCTGCTCTTGGGAATCAAGGCACAAATTCACCCTTCTCCCCTTGGGAGGAGGAGGAGTGGGGAGGCAGCGGCTCCTTTGCAGCCTCTTGTTATGCGGAAGGTTTTCAGCAAGGGCTGGAAAGGTGTTAAAGCGAGCTGGGTCTTCCCCCCTCTCCCAGCCCCTGCCTTTCACCTTCCTCTGCTTTAACGGCAATCAGTTCAAAAACCAGAACAAAGTCTGATGCTTGACCTCAAGGAGATCTGGAAACCAGCTGTGTTCGCAGCGCGATGTCAGATCTGAACCTGGCGGTATAAAGTGAAGCTATTAAACACGAGAGCATGGGTTTTACAAGCACTGCACCCGGGCCATTATTCCATAACCCCCACATTTGTTGTTTTCTGAGAGGAGTTTTTTCTTTTTCCTGCGCATACACACACACACACGCACGCACGCACGCACGCCAGGTTTCCACTGCTTGGGAAATAGCCCATATGTCTGAAGTTAACCACTTCAAGATATTGCCAAGAAAGGAGCTGGGATATATCACCTGAAAGTTGCAGGGCTGTAATAATATTTATGGAGCGCATTTCATTTCAAAGGTCCTCGAAGGTGCACGGCCTTGAAACGCTGTGGCTGAAAGGCAGCGCCTCGGGGGCGA